CGTTGATTACGCCTTGGGGTAGACCGTCGATCGGCATCCCACTCGGCCTGTTGCGATCCTGGGGGGCTGGTTGTGTTCCCCCCTCTATATACTGGTCCAGGTGACCAGCGGCCACTAACTCCTCCAGATGTTGCCTCAATTGTGTACAATTTTCAATTCGGTGCCCTTTTTTTATCATGGAAGGTGAAACGGTACCTCTCATCGTAGCCCCATTGTGCTTCTCCTAACTTGGCCGACCGCCGAATAAAGGGTTCGTCGCGTATCTCGTTAAGAATCCGGTAGATAGGTTTGTTGAATATCGTGGTAACGGTAGTGCAGACTCTCAACTTCCTTGTTTGGGGCTCCTCTCTGTTGACTCGTCTACCCTGCCCATTCTTGCTCGGTTGTTCTACCGTGTTGACTTTTACTGCAGTCTTTCTATCCGACACTGCTGTTGTGCCAGATTTTGCTTTAGCGCGGGTGCTATCCTCCTCTACCCGGATGTGGTGATATACTCTTTCCATTAGGGCCTTCATTGTAAGGGGTGGTATCATCGTCATTGAATCCCTCAACTTGTTACATGTCGGTAAACCCCATTTTGTACTGTGCGATGGCGAGGTTTGTGGGGCAATCGCCAATCTGATTGAAAGTCTCCCAATATCGACTATTGTAAGACTTAAATGTTTCTTTCTCGCCCATGTCAATGGAGAGTAGCTAGTCTATCTCTATTGGCGTCTTGGTATTTGTTCTGAATCTGGTCACAAATGCCTCTACTAGTTGCGCCCATGATGCTATGCTACCTTTGGGCAACCTTTCGAACCATGTTAAAACTAGGTCGCCAAGGTTGGAAAGAAACATGATACACATTAAGGCCTCGTTTCGCCAATATACGGCCATAACTTGGCGAAAGTGGCTTAGGTGCATGTAGGGGTCTGACTTCTTCTCATAAGTAGTGAACTTGGGCTGGTGGAAGCCTGAGGGTAACGGTGTGTTCTCTATTGCTGGAACGAACGGTGAGCTCTGCAACCTCGCTAATACTTTGTCAGCTGGTTCATAGGCAAGGCGCGGCTCTGGCTTTCCAACCTCAACACTCCCATGTGTCCTAGGTGCCAATCGTTGTAGTGCAGAGACTCTGCGGGGGTCTCACGCCAGAGTGTCTTGTCTTCTTTGAGCCCTTTCCTCAAGTACTGTCCGCAAGTTCGCCGACCTAGGCAACTTCGTGTGCCTAGACGTCATTTGGTGCGAGTGCGAGGGCCTATAACTGTTTCCTTCCGTGTAAGACCTTTCAGTTCTCGTTCTCTTAGATCTGGAGTAACGAGTCCTGGAAGTCGTTGATTGTGTATCGTTTGTCCTAAGGCTCCTACTTTTAGCTTGTGACGGTGTGACTTGTCTGTCACGATCTTCTGAGTGGTAAGAGAGTGTGTGGCCTCTGCGCCCCTCTTCTGTTGCCACCCCTTTGCCCTTTATTTGGTGCTTCATTGTCTCTATATCTGCCACCATTTTTTGTATCAACTCATCTTGCTCCCTTACACGATCCTCCAGAATCTGAGGATCCAACCTTCGCCTCTGTCTGTCAGGGCTCTGAGAGCGACGAGGGCTTGAGCCCCATCTCTCTCGTGTGTCTCTCATCGGGTTCCGTCGTTGGGGGTCTAATTCTGCCATAGATGGGACAAAAGGTAATCCTTCACGTTTCCCACCTCCCTCCGGGGTCTGTCTATCAATGGCAGAATGTGGTAAGTCTTCGTTGTGCGCCATTGATCTGAATTAAAGAGGAAGCTTGATCAACAGGTTTTGTTCTTTGTGTGTTTTTCCCCTATCTCTCACGTGGTCATGGGATCGATTCCCACAGATGGCGCCAATTGTCACTACAAGAAATAACACATTTGCCGACCAAAAAATTGGTCGCTAAATGCCCATTTTTAGTCGGCAAAAGTTATTCGCGACCAATTTTTTTGGTCGCCAATTGAGGGTCGGCAAAGTAATTTGCAACCAAAATTTTTGTTGGTTAGGAAAAGTTGGATTTGCTGACTAAATTTTTGGTCGCTAAATATATCATTATTGCGACTAATCCATTTTGTCGGTAAAATACTTTGGTCGCGAAAAGTGATATTTTCCCAACCAAATATCTTAGTCGCCAATTGTCACATTCCACGACCAAACAAATTAGTCGCCAAAAGTCGAGGAATCGCCGACTAACAGTTTAATCGCCAAAAGGTAAGGAATTTCCAACCAATGATTTTAGTCGCAGAAGTGTAGAATTTACCGACCAATTTTTTAGTCGCCAAATCTCTTTTTCTTTTCTTTTTTTTCTTTTTTAGAACAATCAATTTTTGTTTATAAACATTCAATCAAATATCGAACAAAATTCATTCAACCCAACCACAATTAAGGAACAATAACATTTAAAAAAGAAACTTCAGAGGATTCATGCATATACGGTGGTAATTTTAAAAAAGAAACTTCAGAGGATTTAAAAAAGAAACATTCAATCCTATCCTCTCTGTGATTTCACATTATATATGGTGTTGAGATGATATTTGGTTTGTTAACAATATTTTTCAGAGGATTCATGCATATACGGTGGTAATTTTGATAGAAACTTCCATTGGACTTTGTTTTCAAAATGTAATAAGATAACACGTTGTAGTCTTCATGATTTAAGATAGAGAAAGTGACAAGGAGTGATATCTACTAGTGTTCCCACAAGTATAGTCAGACAAGCGCAAACAGCTGCAACAAAATAGAGGTAGAGCTGGCTAGCCCAGTTTGACAACTTATTGCCCTTCACATGATTGTTGTTTGTGTTGTTTTTGCTCAATGAAATTTAATTTACCAAAAATAATAAAAAGACTAGAACACAAATTCAGAGGATGCATAACTATTTGATATCAATCAAGCAGAGAATTGTTCTATTTCTAAAGGGATAGGGCAAGACCCTTAAGAGCATATCATTTCCACACAGCACTTCATAAGCATTGCTAAACAATCTATCATCGACAAAATTGATTTCTAGAACAAGATAAGCAAAGGCTTCGATAATGATGGCGCACAGAAGAAAATAGTGAACGAACTTCATCACGGTTTGAGGAGAGTTAGATATACATAGCCTTAACCCCTGCAAATTCCTAAAGGGTCTGGCTTTTCACTAGATGAAATATCAAAGAAAACAGTCAAGCAAATACTTTTGTCGAGGCCACACATCTTCCGGGAGGTAGTGTTTCCCTGTCCTATGACTGTGTTGGCAACAACAAGTCCTTTCTGCAAGGCTTACCGTAATTAGTACCAACCTTACAAATAAGATTTAATCCAAATTCTACTAAGCAGACAAGCAGAGAATAGTTGTTTGATTAAAGGCACATGATCTTCATCCTAAAGAAAATCAGACATAATATTAAATGAACCAACCTTCTCCAAAGATGTGCAAGGTCCAATGATACCCTGAATTTTAATATCCTTTGAACAATTGATCTCAAGTGTGCCACTGGAAGAAACAAATCAGTATTGAGTTTATAAAGCCTAAACATAATCCAACATCAAAGTCAAAGGAATTTAAGTGAAAAGTAACAGAAACAAAAGGTCTAGATGTACATATGCATAAACACATAATGCACAGAATAAAGAGACCAAAATTTTTGTTACCACAGATAGGTATATTACTTCAGTGGCAACCTTGAACATACACAATTTAGACTCCAGTGTTTACTGATTTTAATGCAATTTTTGGCAAATGAATTACAAACCCAAGTGTAGAGACCAAACAACAAAATAAAAGTACAACATTTTACAATACAACTCCCACAAGGTCATAAAATGAACATAACTCTTAATTTTGCAAGTGACATCCACTTACTGGTAATGCAAGTTCTATTCAAATGAATGTAAAAAAATAATAAATAAATAAAAAATGAATGGTAGAGTCAGAACAATATCCACTACTAAGTGACTCCCACATGGTTGTGACACGGACACTAATCCATGACACTAATCCACAATCAGGTATGACATCCACATGCTGGATTGTCGAAAAAATCTGAATACACCTCTCTCTTTATTGTTCTTTTTGGTGTTGCATCACTGTTGTAGACCACCTAGACTGAAGGGTAGACACCAAGAGAGATGCCAGTGGCACTCTCCATAGAGATACCATCATGCCCAACCCAAGTATTACCTTGTAAATGCAAGAGATATCACAAAAAGAAAAAGGTCAAAGTAGATGCCCCCATAACATGTCAGATAACCAAATGGTTCATTAATTTATGGGTTGAAAGTAACAAAAGTTAGAAGAGAACGATCTCCCTACCTACTATAGGAGGCAATTACTTAATCAGTGAATTAATTTGAAAATAGTTCTCCAGTGTGACTAACTACAAAGGTAAGTTTGTGGAACTACTAATTAAGTGTGAGAACAAGTTAATTAATGGGCCAAAATTTGAGATTATAACAGAGGTTAATTTGCACTCACCTGACACATCAGATAAAGCATATCTTAAGGCTTTAGAGATAGAGCAATACCATTAGCTTCTAACATAGAGGTGAAAGGCTTCTCAAACCGGTGAGGGCCAGCAGCCTAAGTATGTCTATTTTGGTAGATCGAGTGGCTATACACATCTAGATCAGTTAGCGCAGTTGCTCCCAAGGGTAGCAACAACCCTAAGCTGACTGTCACCAGCATGAAGGGTAATCAGTCTCCTCTCTCTAGTTCTCATCAATCTACCTCCTCCATTATATGTCATCACTGCCATGGTGAGGGGCACATTGTCACTCAATGTCCATGTTGCATATTGACCATTGATCATGAGTTGGAGGATGTAGGAGAGGATATCAACCAAGGAGGGTCAGGATATTGTATGTAATGACGACACCCACATTAGTGTTAGCCCAGTTTGACAACTTATTGCCCTTCACATGATTGTTGTTTATGTTGTTTTTGCTCAATGAAATTTAATTTACCAAAAATAATAAAAAGACTAGAACACAAATTCAGAGGATGCATAACTATTTGATATCAATCAAACAGAGAATTGTTCTATTCCTAAAGGGATAGGGCAAGACCCTTAAGAGCATATCATTTCCACACAGCACTTCATAAGCATTGCTAAACAATCTATCATCAACAAAATTGATTTCTAGAACAAGATAAGCAAAGGCTTCGAAAATGATGGCACACAGAAGAAGATAGTGAACGAACTTCATCACGGTTTGAGGAGAGTTAGATATACATAGCCTTGACCCCTGCAAATTCCTAAAGGGTCTGGCTTTTCACTAGATGAAATATCAAAGAAAACAGTCAAGCAAATACTTTTATCGAGGCCACACATCTTCCAGGATGTAGTGTTTCCCTGTCCTATGACTGTATTGGCAACAGCAGGTCCTTTCTGCAAGGCTTACCATAATTAGTACCAACCTTACAAATAAGATTTAATCCAAATTCTACTAAGCAGACAAGCAGAGAATAGCTGTTTGATTAAAGGCACATGATCTTCATCCTAAAGAAAATTAGACAAATAATATTAAATGAACCAACCTTCTCCAAAGATGTGCAAGGTCCAATGATACCCTGAATTTTAATATCCTTTGAACAATTGATCTCAAATGTGCCACTGGAAGAAACAAATCAGTATTGAGTTTATTTATTTATTTTGATAAAACAAATCAGTATTGAGTTTATAAAGCCTAAACATAATCCAACATCAAAGTTAAAGGAATTTAAGTGAAAAGTAACAGAAACAAAAGGTCTAGATGTACATATGCATAAACACATAATGCACAGAATAAAGAGACCAAAATTTTTGTTACCACTGATAGGTATATTACTTCAGTGGCAACCTTGAACATTCACAGTTTAGACTCCAGTGTTTACTGATTTTAATGCAATTTTTGGCAAATGAATTACAAAGCCAAGCGCAGAGACCAAATAACAAAATAAAGATACAACATTTTACAATACAACTCCCACAAGGTCATAAAATGAACATAACTCTTAATTTTGCAAGTGACATCCACTTACTGGTAATGCAAGTTCTATTCAAATGAATGTAAAAAAATAATAAATAAATAAAAAATGAATGGTAGAGTCAGAACAATATCCACTACCAAGTGACTCCCACATGGTTGTGACACGGACACTAATCCATGACACTAATCCACAATCAGGTATGACATCCACATGCTGGATTGTCGAAAAAATCTGAATACACCTCTCTCTTTATTGTTCTTTTCGGTGTTGCATCACTGTTGTAGACCACCTAGACTGAAGGGTAGACACCAAGAGAGATACCAGTGGCACTCTCCATAGAGATACCATCATGCCCAACCCAAGTATTACCTTGTAGATGCAAGAGGTATCACAAAAAGAAAAAGGTCAAAGTAGATGCCCCTATAACATGTCAGATAACCAAATGGTTCATTAATTTATGGGTTGAAAGTAACAAAAGTTAGAAGAGAACGATCTCCCTACCTACTATAGAAGGCAATTACTTAATCAGTGAATTAATTTGAAAATAGTTCTCCAGTGTGACTAACTACAAAGGTAAGTTTGTGGAACTACTAATTAAGTGTGAGAACAAGTTAATTAATGGGCCAAGATTTGAGATTATAACAGAGGTTAATTTGCACTCACCTGACACATCAGATAAAGCATATCTTAAGGCTTTAGATATAGCGCAATACCATTAGCTTCTAACATAAAGGTGAAAGGCTTCTCAAACCGGTGAGGGCCAGTAGCCTAAGTATGTCTATTTTGGTAGATCGAGTGGCTATACACATCTAGATCAGTTGGCGCAGTTGCTCCCAAGGGTAGCAACAACCCCAAGCTAACTGTCACTAGCATGAAGGGTAATCAGTCTCCTCTCTCTAGTTCTCATCAATCTACCTCCTCCATTATATGTCATCACTACCATGGTGAGAGGCACATTGTCACTCAATGTCCGCATTGCATATTGACCATTGATCATGAGTTGGAGGAAGTAGGAGAGGATATCAACCAAGAAGGAGGGTCAGGATATTGTATGGAATGACGACACCCACATTAGTGTCATGACTTATGACTATTTTTTCTACTCCTATAGGATGAGTGAATGTGCACCAGCAATTTTCACATATTTGTGAAATGCAGGAATAGTGTTTGTAAGGTCGTGGGAGTACTAGATTGTGGTCTCCAAATCAACTATTCATCATTGTCCATGTCATATAAAATATATGATGGATCCATAGACATGTCAACATCAGTTTCAATCTGCCTTAGTATTTTGTCTGATGTCTACCTATAGATGTTGCTCAACTTATTAGGCCATCCTTGGCTTTATGATAAAGGTATGCCTAATAATGGGAGAAAGAATACCTATGTATTTATGTATGGCAGCAAGACTATCACGTTGAAACCTGCAAAACTCACCAAAAGTATAAGAGTGAAAAACACAGGTCTTCCCCTAAGAAACTCTCCAAGCACAACCTTATGTCTTGAACAATGGAAAATTTGAGAAAATAGGGAAGAAGTCTGGCCACTTTTAGTGTTAGCTTTACTGACTAAAGGAGTTCTTCAGGTTTCATTTGACCATACACTTAACTTGCAACGAAATGACATCTCTACAAGGTGAAATATGATTCGAATGAGAGACATTTGCCTACTACTGTACCGAAAATTAAGTCCAAAGGAACACATTCACACAAACACACAAAATGCCTAGTCCAAGCGAGACATTTTTCACTTGAAATAACAATCATGTAACATATATCAATATAATATGAATGCCAGCACTGGATTTGGTATTTGTGATGTACGGATTTAAAAGAAAAATTATTTTGAGCTTAAGTATGATGATTAAAAAACTTTAAACCAATGTCATTTCATAGTGATTAACTTAAAATTGTTTTTGTTGCTGATCAAAAAAAATAAAGTGATTAAATCATCGGAGGCCAAGGATACAAGCTTACAAGAATCACAAATCACAATAACACAACTATACTGTAAATAAACAATTAAAAGAAAATAATAGATAAGTAATAATATTTTCAAATGTTTCATCAATGATGAACTCACTTGAAGGAGAAGCCAATAGATTGTTCCCCATCTTCAAAAACACGTTTGAATGAGTCTTTAAAAACAGAATGACCGAAACTTTATGCTAGAACAACAAGGCCACCAGTTCTTTCAATAGCAATCTTCATCTTTGCAACTCCAACCCAAAAACTTATAGTAGATTAGATCATAGCATGACAATGCACACATCTACAGCGAAGTAAAGGCAACAACAATTAGTATCTTTATGTCAAGAATTCGGCAAACATTCCTTGAGTTCTAAATGGGATACTCCAGCAAAAATATGCCACAAACTACCCACACAAGATAGCAAGGAATGTATCACATGCAACAAAAGCCTTTCATCTCACATTGATCATTTTGCATTTTGTTCCTCCAATAGTTTTATTCCTCAATGATCCAAAAAGTCCAAGGCAGACACATCACATGTAACGAATCAATTATACATCAACTTTAAACCTTGTAAAGTTTTGGCTTAGTTGCATTTGTCTTCTAATTGGGTTACACAGCTTCCTAATCGGATATCATGATGGTACTAACAGCTATCTTGCAAATGCCTCAAGTCTATCAAAACAAAACCTGAAACTCACTACGACCAATAAGAGACGACAAGAAAACAAATAGTTTCATTTATCAAATGGTTTGTAACAATTGAGAGAGAATTTAAAATTCTAAGTGACAACAATTATAGACCGCTAATTTTGAATTTTAATATAAATATTAGATAAATGATAAAATCGAAAGAAAAACCAAACTATACTAACAAATATACTATTAGAAGAGGAATAGGGTGTTAAATAAGTTGGGCTGTTTTTACCTTGGCATGGTGATCTCGAAAACCAGCAATTTCCATGGCTTCAACATCAAATGAATCAACCCTCTTGAGCTTCTTGACTAACCTTCTCCTAACAGATCCATACTCATCTCTAGATTCTCTACTCTCATTTTCATCAAGCAGTGACCATGGAGGGGACTCAGAGTCCACTTAACTGCCATCAACCCACTGGGCTCCATTGGTGTATCTATATCTATGGGTATCATTTTGTGTTAGAATTCATCCATTTTGTTATTGACATACATTAACTTGTACATCTAGAGTTTTTCAGTTTTGTCTTCTTGTACTCTTTTTTGGTATGTCATTGTTAACTTGTGTTATTCAGATTTGCTTACTTCCAATCAATGTTTTCACCAGGTGGTGCGAGCAAGGAAGAAAGACTCAGGAATTGTATACGCCTTGAAGATCATGGATAAAAAATTTATTATGAAAGAAAACAAAACCAATTATGTGAAGTTGGAGCGTATTGTGCTAGATCAGTTGGATCATCCTGGCATTGTGCGGCTCTTTTTGACATTTCAAATACTTTTTCTCTATGTAGGTATTTTTGGTTCAAGTGTAGTTGAAATTTCATTTGTCCAGATTCACACAAAAACCTGTGTTTTTTTTTTTTTTTTTTTTGTTCATTTTTGATGAACTTTTTTTGAAAAAAGTTTGCGTTTTAGAATCTGCGTGACTATATGGACCAAATAAGTTATAAAAAAAAATGAAAAACAATTCATTAAAAATAAAAGTGAAAATAATGGTGAACTTTTTGATCAAATAACCAGGGTAAGTAAATAATTTCAACAATATCGGGATACATATTTTACTTTTCCTAGTGTAAAATCATCAGAACTTCTTAACAATTGTCTCTAGCAATTATTTTGTTGGACTATGATGTAATAATTTTATCTTTTTTCTAGATTACACACTTTTCTAGTTTCTGATGACTAGCGCTATATTGCTTATGTATCCTCAATCAGTCACAATACTCGCAACATGACTTAATTATTTTGAGACACTGGATTACCTGCTTAGGTGTTTTTCTACCAAGAAGCTTTTAGTCATACAAATAGAATTCTTTAAATTTTGGAAGTTTATGTGAGAATCTATCAGAAGATTACGACTTTGTTTGGTTGAGTTTTTAGAATCTGTTTTCTAAAAAAAATTGAAAACTAATTTGGTGAAAGAAATAAAACACTCATTTTACCAAATTAGTTTTTGAGTCTTTTTTCTTTAGAAAACAGATTTTAAAAACTCAACCAAACAGGGCCTACAACTCCTCATTGTTTCGAGTGTCAAGTGATACGTGAAGTTCAAAGTTGTTATGTTTGATACTGTGGTGTGTGTTGCTTACCTAGTTTCTCACTGTATGATGTCCAATATCCACTAAATTTGAATGTGTACAGAAAGGCCGTTTGCCAGAGGATGAAGCTTGGTTCTATGCAGCTGAAGTTATGGATGCTCGAGTACATACATGGTGTGGGATTGATACATCGAGATATTAAGGCAATTCACTCCATAATGCACTGTTTTATAGGCAATATGGGAAATGCTAATAGTTTCTCAAATGCAGCTAGAGAACCTGCTACTCACTGCTAAAGGACATATTAAAATTGTTGATTTTGGTAGTGTGAAGCCCATGCAGGATAGTCAGATTACAATCCTTCCTAATGCATCATCTGGTAAATTTATCGCACTGGTCAGGAATATATCAATATTGTGATTGAGTAATGTGTTAAAACTGTTCTCATTTATCTCCTTTTTCAGATGATAAAGCTTGCACGTTTGTTAGAACAGCTGCTTATGTCCCCCTAGAAGTTCTAAATTCTTCACCAGCAACTTTTGGGTAAGGGACTCACTTCTTGAAGGAGTCTAGTAACTTCTTCTGCATTCTTAGTACGCAGGAAAAAAAAAATGAATGAGCCAATTGTCACTGGAATGTAATATGAGCTTGTTTTGGCTCTTTTAGAGTTCTTCTGATATTTTGAATGGGTGGTTTCTATTGTTTTCCTTTATGTTCTTTATGTTAATTTTTATGTGTCATCTTTGTTGGGGGACTTATTTTCTTCTTTTGATTGCATTTGAACAGAAATGACCTTTGGGCACTGTGTACCAGATGCTTTCAGGCACTTCTCCCTTTAAAGATGCTAGTGAGTGGCTTATTTTCCAAAGAATTATTGCCAGAGATATTAGATATCCAAATTATTTTTCAGAAGAAGCTAGAGATCTCATTGACCAATTATTGGTAATCTTATTACTCATCAATTGCTTCTCTTTCAGTTTAAGCATGCAATGCTTGTACATTTGAGCTTCAATCTCCTCCTCCCCTTTTCTCATCCTTGTAATTTGTTGTTATAGAATACACTTTGAACTGAAAATTGGTCTTACTATTCGCACGGACTGTAACAGAGTCCGATTTTGTTAATACTTACATTTTGATTGGTGTAGAATAGTGGGACTTACCATTTTGGGTGGGTCAAAACACTTTTTGGATATGGGGTCCATACTTTTGGACCAATCATATTTTATGTATTGTTCACACAGTAAAAGAGTGTGAACAAATTCATTTTCGACTGTAACATAGGATAAAGATTTATTTTCATATGAACATACTGACTTAGAGATTTCATATATGTATATGTACATATACATATATAGGAGAGAGAATTGAAGAACTTTCTGGAGACAGGTATAGATAGAATTGATGATAGGCATATTGTTGGGGGAACCTATATATCCTACATGGGCATTACTTTTTCCATAAAATTGGAAAAATAAGACAATTATAAAGATAAATTACATTCTGGATTTGCTTATCTTGTATCCAATATTAATGCTAATGTCATTTGTTGCCTTGCATTCTTGTTGGCATCATTGGTTCCTATCCAAACTGATTAGGTTCATAAAAGTTTTTTGATTTCCAGTTCAATTTTATGTAGAGCCATAATGCTAACAACACATTGTATTCTTATCATTACATAGATGGCTTCATTCTTCAATGTATAAGACCTCAGATGGCTCCAAGGAAATTATCTGAGTGAGCTGTAATTGTGCCTTGGCATCTATGCTTGCTTCACAAATGTTGTTGTGGGCCAACTACTTATTAATAGTATGAGTACTTAAGGAGTTGCAATATCTGAAAATCATGGTATAAGTCTGTTGAAATAAGATCATTACATGTTTAGAATCTTATCTCTAACAAAGGAAAAACAAAGATTTGCATTGCTTTGTAATTAAAGTCCTTGCATATTTATTCTTATTTGAATAGCTAGATTATTCAGCATATCACTATCACAAAGAGAATGACCATTTTTTTTTAAATTTAGAATTGGATGATTCAGGTATATAATCATCATTTTGGTGAAGATGATTGATGACTTGATGAAGCTGAAGAGAGCTGTGGATGAAGTTATTTTTACAGAATTTGGAGAGCACATTGAATATTATTATTTTTATGATTTTGTATTGTTATATTGTATTTAAAGGGGTTTTATTTATTTATTTATTTATTTTATGGAAAATTGAAAAATGAATGCTCATTCACATTATGGTATATATTTTGAGATGGTGATGGATGATGATGGATGATATAGGTTTGGTTTAACAAAAAGTCAAAAGATCATTAATTATGATTTTTCATTTTTTTTTAAAAAAAATGAAAGAAATGGTGGCGTTTTTCTTAAAAACATCGCCAAATGTCGTCATTATGACGTCAGAGATAACTCCTTTAACGTGCATAGGTAACGGCTGAGGTAACGGCTGTAAAGAATTAGCGGCGTTTTATAAAACGTCGTCTAAAGTCTTTAGTGGCGTTTTTAAAACGTCACAAAGATACAACGACGGCCGCATCATCGACGAATTTTATAAGCGTCGTTTTATCTTTTTGCGGCGTTTTTCTTGCAGTGAACATACCCTTAATACATAAAAAAAACTAGTATCTATTTGATCTTAACATGAACAGAAAGAGTAGTGATATCGATTATTCAACTATAAAATAAGAGTGTATTTTTTTTTTTATTATTATTATTATTATTATAGATATTAAGGGCATTGATATCCACACATAAAATAAGGGGAAATTGGGAAATGCAATAAATTAGCTGCAATAAGTTTTATTTATTTATTTTTTCCATTATAGATATTATTTGTTAAAAAATCATAAACTTTGATGGTTTTCTTAGCATATTTCTTTCTCATTTAAATATCATACTTTCAACTGTTTATTTTTCTAAATTAATTTTTAAATTAACCTTCATGCCCAAACATGCATGGGATATAAAGATGAATTCTGTTTCAAGACTTCCAACATTTGTGCCAAAGCAAGCACATGTTGTGGTTTATTCTCTCCGAAAAGCGCAATCTAAGAACAAGTTCTTTCTGCCATGGTCTGATCTTCTTCTTTTTTCCTTTTTTTTTTTTTTTTTTTTGTATTCAAATATGTTCTTTTTGTTTTTATCGGATATTTATTCCAGCTTGTGTGCACTTTAACTAATTCCGGAACCATAAAGTTAATAACCAAGTAAACCTCTAGTGGCCCCTTAAAGTAATTCGAATTCAAAATTTTAAATCTTATTCTTAAATTTTTACTGCTCGGCCAACTCTTAAATTTTTTTAAGAATATATTACGCTAAATTTGGGATTCTTTCATGAAGAAGCCAGATGCACGTGGAACAATATTTAGGTAGCTCTAAAATATCAATTAGAATTGTTAATGTGATATTTTTGAAAAATCACAAAACATGTTAGAAAATCATTCATCCATTTGAAGAATGAGAAATAAATTAACATCTAACACTATTTTTCTTTTAAAGATCGGGTCCATCTAATACTATTAATACATAAAAAACTAGTATCTATGTGGTCTTAACATGAACAGAAAGAGAAGTGGTATTGATTATTCAACGATAAAATAAGAGTGTATTTTTGTTTTTTTATTATAGAGATTAAGGGCATTGATATCCACACAGAAAAAAAGGGCAAATTGGGAAATGCAATAATCAGGGGAATAAATTAGCATGTTGAATTCAGCAATTTTGTTACCATCGATAGTTAATAATCAAATAATGAAAAGAAAAAAAAAATTGAAATGAAAAAGTGAAGTTGGTCAATATTATTTCATAAACGCGAGGAAGATCCTTATATTTGTCAATAATCTTAATGGAAGTTAGTATAATTTACCCTTCGCACAAATTTC